GCAATCGAAGTAGCAGGATCAGCAGTCGCAGCAGAAGAACCAGAGGCTCCTATCTCAAGCCTCACATCCATAAGACTCTTCGGTTCGGCCTTGACCAAAGAAGTCTCCAGAGCTGAAGAGAAGCCAAAAGCTTCCGCCTCAAGGTCCACTAGTACCCATCTCTTTGCCATGGATCCTCCCCCTGTGAAGCTAGGGGTAGGATAAGGAGTCCTCACAACAGATAAGCTTCGACCGGGCCGGCGGTTCGTAACCAAAGGAGCAGGTGGAGAGTCGGTTTCAGTATCAGAGTCAAGGAGAGATGCAGCTAGCCTTGCCTTTTTTCTGGATTGTGGTACGGTAGGTTGCTCGATAATCCAATAGTTCGGGGGCGGATCTCTTCTTATATCTCAAAACGGCTTTAATCGCCTCAGTATTCTTGTGGTTCGATCTACGTTGATAACGGGAAACAAGGTTCTAAAAAGCGGTTGCGGTCACCATAACGGTGGCGGTGACGCGGTTGCAGTTGCAGGGTGTAAAGGCTGTAGTGTAATGGTTGTGGTAACCGGAACCGTGAATTTTTTTATTTTTCGCACAATTTGAAAAAAAACTCACCGATACGCATATTTTTTTTCCATGATCATATTTATTGGATTAAAAATAAATATTAATCAATTTTTATAAATTTTTAAATATGATCCAATATATTTCATATTTTTAAATCACTATAAATTGAGTTTTTTACATTTTATTTTAATAATTAATGACATTATATTATACAAAAAATCAATCACTAACTATTATATATAAGATAAACAATGACAAAAGTAAGAGAATAAATAAGAGCTTAAATATATATATATATATACATATTTTAACCAAATCAAATAGATAATGACCACGCTTATTATTATTATTATTATTTTCAAACAATATATAGATAGACACACACAAATAAAATAGTTTAGTGATAGCAGCTGAATAGAATAGCATAGGTTATACAGCTTCAACAAATCAATAACATGTTCTTCATCTTCCCTCTTCTCTCTCTCTATCTCTTGCTTCTCCATTTTCTCTCTTTATCTTCCCTCTTCTCTCTATCCTTCTTCCCCCATTTTCAGCTTTTTTTTGTGTATTTTTTCGAAAGAAACAGTTTGGAACCGTTACGTAACGGAGCGTAGCAGGCCGTTATGGCTGTTACGGCACCGTTACGACCGCTACCGCAGCCGCTATGACCGACACACCTGTGAATCTCAATCACACTGCAAAAGCGGCCGTAACGGGTGGCGGTAACCGCCAAAACCGTTACGTAACGGCGTTACGTAACGGTTGCGGCCGCTTTTTAAAACCTTGACGGGAAGCCTCTGCAAAGAAAGGGGGAACAACATTAGCCTAACATTCAAGCAAACAAGCAGAAGTACAGAAGTACTAGGGTACAAAACTCAGACTTGGATAGCCATCCTTTTGGGGCATCCGTTCGAATTGGAACTCAGTCCTAGCATGAAATTCCCAATTATCACCGACTTGCAAAAAATCATCGTTGTGTTTATCCAAATTGGGTAAGCCGGTTACAAGATGACAGTCAGCCAAGCAGACACGGAGATAATAGGTGCTATGATCCTTATTGTGCGACAGAGTATAACAACCCAGAATATCCCAGATGTCCATGTTCAGACTCAACCGCCACAGACAACTCGGAACAGATTTACTGACACTTGCATAGGGGTAAGTTGAACTTGGTGCAGAAAACGGCGTACTAAGGGATCGAGGGGAAACCGGACCCCTCCTTCAACAATGGCAGCGACGGGGAAGGCAACAATGTTTTTGGTACCCATGCGCTTAGCGTCGACTCTCGCCAGTGAAAAGGTCACATCATCGGGAATATCGTAGTCACGGCGAAACAAGGCCATCGCCTCAGGAGTATCCACCAACGCCCGAAATTTGCCCATTATCTAGACCTAAGCAGGGCAAAGACAAAACTTAACTAAACAAGAAATGGAATTAGTCGCTGGAAACAATGGCGCGAGGGCCAAAGAGGGCGATCAAGATAGAAAACTAGAAGAAAAGATAGATTTCAGGGAAACTTATAGAGATTAAACAGCAACGACAAGCGGAGAGCCTTGGGACAGGAATGAGAATGGCAGCAGCAATGGCAGCGAAGCGTCTGGGCAGAGCTTAGTCGGAACCAAAACAGAGGAACGGAAAGGGTTTTGGACTCTCTGAAGTTTGAAGAAAGACGAAGGGGTTTGAATTGACAACCCTAGAACATTTATTGCACCCAACCGGCGCGAAGGTACACAAATCATGCCCGTCTGTATGGAATCAGCGCACTATCTCTGTGCACTAGTACCGTGCCACCACGTGTCACCATGGGAAGACACATGCAGAAGGCGTGTGTCAAGATTGAACCATCACCAAGGCTGAACTGGAGCAAATCCGAAGAAACGAGACGCTTCGGGTATTGAGCAGTAACTCCCCCCAAGGAGAACCTTAGCGCAAGCTAAGGGGCAAATGAAAGGACTAAATATGAAACGGGTCGGATCCAAGCCTTGGGCCGGCCCAATCCACTAAACCCAAGACCAAATGAGTCAGGTGAACATTTCGGTGAGCCAATTCAGCCCAGTTCCATGATCAACAAATCCACCCAAGTCCTCAAGCACTTAGGCCCAACCCACAGTGGAAAGGTTAGTCCAGCCATGATGTTGGGCTGGGCCAAGCTGCAGGACCTGATCCTTGGACCGAACCAAAATGGGCTGAGCCTATACAAAAATATCCTACTGGGCTAGCCCATCTCTACAAGCAATCTCGCGGAGGGCCGAGCCACGGTACCAAGCTAAAGGAACCTCTCAGGGACACATGGAAACTGTGAATGCATGCATGTGCAAGCTGCCACCTCAGCTGGTCTCCTTCACCTAGAATTACGAAAATGGTTAATCAAGGGAATGTGGTTTGTTATCAGCATGACAACAATAAGTATATACATCCCTTGTCAACTACCTGATGGTCCCCTACCTTGAGCAATGCTAAAGGGAACTTAGCAGCACCAAAACTCAATGAAACCATCTTGGGCAACAAGCAAGGAGTTCTATATAAACTACACTCACTTCACATTGAAGGTAACTAAGTTGAGCTGAACCACACTCACTTAAACACAACTCTCTACACTTAGCGAGCATCTTCCATCTTCTCCGATCACTTACTCCCACACAGGAGGGGCTATCCGGCCAACTCTGGCCGGGAAGCTCTAACGGTGCTCATTGTTGCAGGGTCTCAGCTTCTGAATAGTTCAATCAGGTGCGGAGCTCCGATCTACAATCATCTAGTGCAGTATTCGGTACGCACAAAAACTTCAATATTAATTACAAAATTTTTTAATGTAAACTTTTACAATTAACCCCAGTGAGTTTTCATGTTTGAAAGTTTTGCATAATAGTATTTTTATCAATGCCATAAAAAATGTCTATTTCTATATATATACAACTAAGTTATCATTCATTCGACTCAACAACTAATCATTCATAATATTCATTGTTAAAAATAAAATAAAATAATTATCTATGATTGCGTAAAACTTAAAAAATTAAAATTTGTAATCAAAATTCTTAATTTTAGCACAAATCACAATAAATCAAATCTCTAGTTTTAACACAAATCAAGTAAATTAAAAAAATAACCTTTGGCATAAATATACAAACTGACTATTCTTAGATTTGAACCCATAATCTAAAGATTAGTCGACCAAAGTTTTAATCAATGAACCAATGCTTACTCTCTAACAAATCTAGTTAATTGCAAAAAAAAAAAATCATATATATATATCAAAAAGTGAGGGGGGCACATGACCCCCCAGACCTTACATAAATTCATCCTTGTTTGTATGATTATAAGTTTAATACCACAATAATCATTGCAACACTCAATACAAGATCCATGGAAAGTATGTTTTGCTAACATTCATTTTATTGGTTTAAAGTTTCATCCTAGAGAACCCGGCTAGCAATTGTGCAATGATGGAATGTAAACAATCAAAAACTAGGTAGGTGTCGGATCAAATTCAACGAGGGTTAATGAATGTGTAGACAGTGTGATTGATTTACAAACTGGGAAGACCTTCAATTGATTCACATTGAGGAGAACCGGGACTCATGTTCTTCACAACTGAAGAGTTCTGATCTGACAATATTTTTTCCTCCCTTATTAATAGATATTGTTTCTATACAAAAAGACCACAACCTACTAAACCATGATCCCACAAGGTACCTGCACCACTAAAATATTTAACAAAGAATCAAATAAAATACATTTTTTTCTTTTTTAAATAACACACATAAAATTTCACCCCTATAACACCATGTTTGGATTGAGTGATTTGGAGAGAAAAGAAAAGAAATGCAGAGATATGTATTTCTCTTACTTATTTAGATAACCTAAGTGAAGAGAAATAAAAAGAAATTGAGAGAAATGGAGAGAAACTCAATTCTCTTATAAGTCTCATTTTTAATCTTTCCAAGAGTAGAGAGATTGGGAGAGAAAGGAAACCACTATTTTCATAATACCAATTTTGTCCCTATAAAAATAAAAGAAATAAAATGATTGAAAATATAAAAAGGTTATTTTGGTAATATAACATAAAATAATTTCTTTTCTTTTCTCTTAATAAAATCTAACCAAACAAAAATGAGAGAAATCATAATTATTTCTTTCTTTTATTTCTTTCTTATCCAAACAAAAATTAGAGAAATCACAATCATTTTTTTTTCTTTTCTTTTCTTTTCTTTTCTCTTATTACTTGAGTAATCATTTCTTTTCTTTTCTCCCTATAATCCCAAACACAGTAAAGAAATTGAAGAAAATAAAATAAAAGAGTAAAATCATGCTTGTAGTTTTGGTTTTGTTAATTCTAACAAGACAATTCAAAAGTAAATGAATTACAAGAGTATTGATTGAAATCACTATGTTATGACAAGAAAACCCAAAAAGAGAATGAAAATAAATTAAAAAGATTTTGAGCAAAGACGAATTACCAGGTTTTAATTTGAAGTTGAGGGATGTTGTTGTGTTTGGTTGGATCATCAATTACAGGGTCATTCAAACGAGAAACAATAGGAGGATACACATGATGGGAACGAAAAATAGAAGAAATTTTACAAGTTGAGTGAGAAAGAAAGGAATAAGTAGTAGAAAGATGGAATGGAGCAGAAGGCTTCTTTCTTATTGTTTGTGAGTAGAAAGCAGAGGGGAAGTCGAATCGGAAGGTAGAACAACAACTTGCGCTCGCCGCCATTTGCATTTCCACTCAAGAGGTGGTGGAGACTCGACTCAAGCCTGAAATGGAGTCCCACAGAGAGAGTATTTGGGGGCATTATTGTTTGTTGCTGTTGTTGGTTTAGTGGCAGATGCAATTAGAGTGAAAGATTTTGCCACGTCGCTCACTATTCCTCCTCTATCAAACGATGAGTCTGGGGTGCAACCGAATCGAACTTGTACTTAATAAGGGTGTGTTTGATAACATTTACGTTTTCAGTTTATATTTATAAAAATTTTATAAATTAGTTTTTATTTATTTTTAAAAAAACATAAAGTACAAACGTGTTTGGTAATTGACAAAATGTTTTAAAAAATTTTAAAATATAAAAAAGAGTGAGAAATGACAAGTGGTGGCAAGTGGCGGCGGAAGACGGTGGTGGAAAATGGTGACGGTGGGTGGTGGGTAGCTGGTGGTGGTGGTAGTGGGTAGGTGGGTGACGGTGGCCGGTGGTGGGTGGTAGCGAGTGGGTGATGGTGGTAGTGGCAGGTGGGTGGCAGATGGCGGGTGGGTGGTGGTGGTGACGGGTAGGTGGTGGGTGGTGATGGCGGGTGGGTGGGTGACGATGGCGGGTGGTAGCGAGTGGGGGGGGGTGGTGGTAGTGGCGGGGGGGGGGGGGGGGGGGGGGGGGGGGGGGGGGGGGGGGGGGGGGGGGGGGGGGGGGGGGGGGGGGGGGGGGGGGGGGGGGGGGGGGGGGGGGGGGGGGGGGGGGGGGGGGGGGGGGGGGGGGGGGGGGGGGGGGGGGGGGGGGGGGGGGGGGGGGGGGGGGGGGGGGGGGGGGGGGGGGGGGGGGGGGGGGGGGGGGGGGGGGGGGGGGGGGGGGGGGGGGGGGGGGGGGGGGGGGGGGGGGGGGGGGGGGGGGGGGGGGGGGGGGGGGGGGGGGGGGGGGGGGGGGGGGGGGGGGGGGGGGGGGGGGGGGGGGGGGGGGGGGGGGGGGGGGGGGGGGGGGGGGGGGGGGGGGGGGGGGGGGGGGGGGGGGGGGGGGGGGGGGGGGGGGGGGGGGGGGGGGGGGGGGGGGGGGGGGGGGGGGGGGGGGGGGGGGGGGGGGGGGGGGGGGGGGGGGGGGGGGGGGGGGGGGGGGGGGGGGGGGGGGGGGGGGGGGGGGGGGGGGGGGGGGGGGGGGGGGGGGGGGGGGGGGGGGGGGGGGGGGGGGGGGGGGGGGGGGGGGGGGGGGGGGGGGGGGGGAAGACGGTGGTGGAAAATGGTGGCGGGTGGTGGCTAGTGTTGGGTGGTAAAAAAAAAAAAAAACTGAAAACTCAAAATGGAAACACATTTTTTGTGTTTTCATTTTTTGGCCAAATTTATAAACTGAGACCACTGATTTATAAATCAAAAATTTTACCAAACAAGTTTTTATTTGAGTTTTTAAAATTTTTGTAAATATAAACAGAAAACTGAAAATGTAAGTGTTACCAAACGACACCTAAGATTTTTGGGTATTTAAAATTCAATAAAAATTGAGTAATTCACCTTTACTAAGGAAAATGTCTCGTAGCTCAAATTTTGTGGTTCAAAAGTGGCTCAAATGGCTAAAACAACGTCGTTTTGGCCATTTTTATGTTGTTCTGTACTCAAAACGACGTCGTTTTGGTCATTTGAGCCACTTTTGAGCCATAAAATTTGAGCTACGTAGCATTGTCGCTTTACTAAATAACGTGGGATCCACATGTAAGTTCGTCTGTCTCACACTCATTTAAGGTATTTAATAAAAATTTTAATAAATTTTTTTAAATTCTTAATATTTTTAATAAAAATTTAATAAATTAAGAAACGTTTAATTCCTTTAAGATTATTAAGTTATAATCTTTCATTTTTGGCTTTAGCCCAATCATTACCAAAAAAATACCTTTATCGAGCTGAATTTCAATCTATTCATAATAAGCTCTGTTCATTTGAAGCGTTAAAATGAGTCCACTCCTCTAACATTTCTTAGATCCAATTATATGTAAATAAAATTATTGGTGGATTTAGAGAAGATATGAGAGAAATATTTTATTTAAATTTTTTAATACATTGTCATGTCATTTAATTTGAAAAGTAAATTTAACTTTTGAGCTTGAATAGCACAATTATCAAAAATTCAATTTTTGAGCTTCAATTTTATTTTAATTTAATGAAAAAGAACTCAAAAATTATCTCCAATCATTTTATCCATAATCAGATTTGAGAGTATGTGGGATGATTGAGACGCAAAAAAAAAAAAAAGGAGGAACTTACCAATAAGTCTCATATACAAAGTTCAAGACTCATTTAATTTTCAAACAAAACACTTGCACCAATTAGTACTATATATTTTTAATTGTTACAAAAAAATCCTAATTTTTTTTTTTTATTTACAGACACTGTTATATCTTACTACCGTTGAACTTCCGTCAAACGATCACTGGAGACTCGTCGGAATGTTCAACATCATCAGAAGTCGTCAGAGTATTGCCGGGAAGTCGCCGGAGTATCGCCGAAAGTTCACCGAAGTGTTAAGAACGTTAATAGAAGTCGCCGGAATGTTCAGAACGTTCACTGGACGTTAAGAACATCACTGGAGACTTACCGGAATGTCTAGAATATTGCCGGAAAAAAAAAAAAAAAAAAAAAGAGACTAAATGGAGAAATTGGAGCAAAAAGATAGCAAAATGTGCTAAATATTAATAAACTAAAAGAAAAAAAAATGACACGACAAAAAACAGCAACAATGGGAAAAACATATACTATTTTTTAATTTTTGTAAGGTTTAAGCAAATAAGCTCCAATTTGAGACTGTAAAATGTTATAGTTTCAAAGCAAAAATCTATTAAGTATTTATCCTTATTAATCAAACTGAAAAACATGTTATGAAATTGTAAAATTTTATAGTTCTAAATAATGTTATGAAACTACAAAATTTTACAGTTTTATACCATGATTCATTCAAGCACCAAAAAAATTTGAAACTGCAAAATTTTACAATTTTCACCGCCTGTAACTAAAACTCGAAAACTACTTGTTTAGAACTTGAAAATTTTATTCATTAGAACAGAAAAAGAGAAGTGTGTACTAAAGAAAATATAGAAAAAAAATAAGAGATCGAATGAGAAAGGCGGATATAGAGAGAGGATTGTACTTCGACAACTATTTTTTGTTTAGATCTAGCCAAATCTGATGTAGATCTACTCAGATCTGATGTAGATTTACATTAGATCTAAGTAGATCTACTCATCTTCTTCGTAGGAAATATATCTTCTTCGCCGTCGGTGATGGTGAGGTCACGAGTTTATTTCGATGGTTGGTGGTTACCGGTGAACCCGATCAATGGTGGTCGTTGGTCATCGGTCGTCGTCCATGACAAAGAAAATGAGAGAAAAATACAGAAAAAAAGAGAGGGGGAAACGTAAAGAGTGAAACAAAAAACAGAGAGAGATAGAGAGGAAAAGTAGGACTTTTAAGTCTACTCAAAAAGTTATTGAATTAAATAGTGTACACATATTTCAATAATTTTTCCCAAAAAAATTGATGAATTGCGATTAATTAGGAACAAAGCCACGTATTGCACTTGAATTACAATATAAGACCATCTCCAACGGTGAACCAAACCTGGCATCAAATTTAAAATTTGGTGAAAAAGCCACTTTTTTAAGCTCCAACGTTTTCACCAAATCGATATCAAATCCAGAATTCAGCAAAAATGGTACCAAACTGAGTGCAGGCGAAGCATTTCACCAAAACACTGTTCCTAACCGTTGGGATGAGACGAACGGGTCGACCATCCGGTTGACCAACCGGTTAACCAACCGGTCGCCCCAGAGAAAGTTCAGACAGTTCACAAAAAGGTTGAAACCAGTCAAAAAAAAAAAAAAAAAAAAAAAATTCACTAGGGGGATTTCTGGTGTTTGAAATATCTATTCAATTATGTATATCAGGTAAAAAAAAAAAAAAAAAAAAAAAAAAATTTGCCGTTACCGGTTGACCGGCCGGTCGACCGGCCGGTCAACCAACCGGTTGCCCAGCGCAAATTTGATAAAACGGATTTGATGTTGAACCGTTGGAGCGCGAAGTATCAAATTAAGAAAATGACCCCTTTTTAGCTCAGATTTGGTGAAACATTTGGTACACCGTTGGAGATGCTCTAATTTTTCCATATGATACTCTCCTGTGACGTGGACATTTTTCATCAACCAATCGAATAACAGCTTACAAAAAAAATTAACTACAACTTGACCCAAGTGAAGGGTCTAGTCAAAATTAACTTACATTTAAGGATCTGCTTGTTTCAGAGATGGAACGTAAGATTTGACTAGCAGTTGGGAGAGACCAACAAATGTCATGTTTATTTTGAAAATTTACAATGAGGATTAATAGCTATGAAACCCCTCTAATGAGAAGACTAAGGCCTCGTTTGGTAATCGAATTTTTTAATTAAATAATTAAAAAGTTATTAAATCAGTTAAAAAGTTAATAATTCATACAAAAAAGTTAAAGATTCTCTTTTCTTATTACTTTTTGCATAATTTTTCGTAAAAAATCAAAAAGTCATCCCAAACATACTAGTTTTTTTTAGCTCATATTTTAGCCAAATAGGCAAAAAGTTACTGAATTAGCCTGTTCCCAAACGAGGCCTAAGTGTTTGTTTGACATGTATTAAAAAAATATATTTTTTTGTATAGATATATATATATATATTTGAGTTACATTAATTAATATCTATCAGCATCTATTTTCTATTTTTCTATCTACTTTTTCTATTTTTTTACATAACTTTTTATAAAAAAATTAAAAAATACACTTATTTAGAACATTTCAAATATCTCATAACAATCCCATAGGAAGGTGGTAATTAAATCCAATCCTATGAGATTAGAGTTGAAATGATTATTTTGTCTCTCATTTTACAAAAGTAACTTAATATTAAAATGAAATAGTATAATAATATATTAATACAAAAAAATATAAATATATCAACATAAAATAATATAACACAAAAATATAATTTTTTAAGTATATAATATAAGCAGCAACGTTTTTAGGTCTATGAACTCAAAACTCCTAACTTATTTTTTTTGGATTTTTGAATGAAAAAAAATACAAATTTACATGTGTCATGAAATCATTGGCCCTTTTATTTTAATTATAATTATTGGATCTTTCATTATTATAATAATATATATCAAATTCCTTAATTACTACCTTTCAAATTCAATAATTATTCCCCTTTCATAGCATTGATATGAAAAACAAATTTCTTCAAATTTTATTTGTTTACTATAATGGCAAACATGATGTCAACACATGCAATACATATACCTATCCATGTTAGTTTTCAAAATTAGATATGACGCAATGACGGCATTAGATAGCAGAATAGTAGTAGAAATGACGCAATAACGGCATTAGATGGCGAATTAGATATGCTAGTTTTCAAAATTAGATATGACGCAATTACGGCATTAGATATGACGCTAATGTCAATAGTGGTAGAAATTAGTGGATAATGATTGTGGTGGTGGTAGAAGGGTATATATTATAGAAAGAGAGAGAAAAAAAAAAAAAAAGGTTAGCGACGATGGCAGAATGATGGTAGTGGTTGTGACAACAGTGACAATAATTGTGTAAGTGAAGAGTTGCAGTGGTTGTTATGGTGGTGATAGTAATGGCAATGGCGATTGTGGTGATGATATGATAGTTGTAGTGAAATGATAGTGGTACTTATGACAACAATGACATTGGTAATGAATGTAGTGATAGCAATAATGGCGGCAGTGGCGGTTGTAGTGAATTTATAATAGTATATATCGATATATATATATATATATATTTGAATATGTCGCTACTTTATGTTTAATATTTATAAATTCAGTTATAATTAAATAAGTTTTATATCACTTAAAATTTTATTAACTTTTGGGTTACATTTTAAGAGCTACTTAAGTTTTAAGGGATATCAATTGTAATTATCAAACAGACTTAATTGATTATCACTTATTATATTCAATTTTAAATGCTAAATTAGATTATCAAACACCACCTTAGAGTAAGTCATTTTTAAGTGTAAAATATAAAAGAGCAATACTAGAGACTTCAAAAAAATTATCAAATTTTCTACATAATATTCACATGGATGTGATTTTCTAACATTTTTAATTTAAAATTACATTTCGACTTCCAAAAGGCAATTCTAAGAAAAATTTATTCTTAATAAATATATATTTTATACTGTGCATAACACGAGTATGCCGCTAGTATTAAAATATATCAAAACACCAAGAGTATGTATAAAATTTCATATAATTAATTCCATCATAGGTTAACAAAACAAATATGAATTTTTAATAATCCGGTAGTCATTAAACAAACAATTTTTTTTAATTACCTCACTACAAATTTCTATACTAACACTCATCACACTAACAATCCCACCCAACTTAACTCTAAAATTAAAACGCTTGGAGCTTACAAGGGTAGTGAGAAGAAAAAGATACGAAGAAAACAAAGAAAATCATCATAAAATTGATATGTGAGAGCAACTCATGATTCTAGAAAATAATTTCTTTCATAGCATACAAAACACTTGATCAGAAACAATGCAAACACAGCTTTCTAACAATTTCATAACATGAAGAGAGAATGATAATACATGAGAAATGGAACAGCAGAGAGATAGAGATAGAGATGGAGATAGAGACAACGACATGGAGATGAGCAATGCTCAAATCAATCAATCACCGAACATATCCCTCACACAACTACCTCAATAATCTTGACCCTCGTCTTCATCCTCCACAGCTTCAGCACCAACTTCTTCATAATCTCTCTCGAGAGCAGCCAAATCTTCACGGGCCTCAGAGAACTCCCCTTCTTCCATGCCTTCACCAACATACCAGTGAACAAATGCCCTCTTGGCATACATAAGATCGAATTTGTGATCAATGCGAGAAAACACCTCTGCCACTGCTGTGTTGTTGCTGATCATGCACACAGCTCGCTGCACCTTGGCAAGATCACCTCCTGGTACAACAGTTGGAGGCTGGTAATTGATACCACATTTGAATCCAGTCGGGCACCTGTCCAAAAACCAAAAAAGAAAAAAAAGCAATATTTCAGTTAGGGACAAATTCTACACTAAAGATCAGGAATCTGGGAGTATAAATAAGGGTCATAATATCTGCTTCCCACCCAGAAGAACAAGCCAAACAATGAGAACTTGTTTGACTACAAACTTCATAGATAATAGTAGCAATATGTTTCAATAGAACCTTCAAAAGAGTGTCCCTAAATAAATCTTCAACGACAAACTTCTGATAATTGAACTCAGCATGTAGCAAGGAAGTACTTTACCTATAGCTAATCTAGAGAGCTTTTACTTTAAATTCCTAACAGTTAACTAATTATCTTGAAGATGATGTTTAAATTTTCCAACTTTGAAAACATCTCAGAAGATGTTTCATGAACTATATGAAACATAGTAGCATATTCTATCCGTCATACTCAAATTAACTACAATTATTCGTTCATTGATATGCATTTTTCTCACCAGTCAACAAACTGCACAGTCCTTTTTGTCTTGATAGTGGCAACGGCAGCATTAACATCCTTTGGGACAACATCACCACGGTACATCAAGCAGCAGGCCATATATTTGCCGTGCCTTGGATCACATTTTGCCATCATGCTTGAGGGATCAAACACTGCATTTGTAATCTCAGGTACAGACAGCTGCTCATGGTATGCTTTCTCAGCTGAAATTACAGGGGCATATGAGGAAAGCATGAAATGTATACGGGGATATGGCACAAGGTTAGTCTGAAACTCAGTAACATCCACATTAATGGCCCCATCAAACCTTAAGGAAGTGGTCAAAGATGATATTATCTGGGAAATCAATCGATTCAAATTGGTATAAGTTGGCCTCTCAATATCTAGGGATCTGCGGCAGATGTCATAAATAGCTTCATTGTCCAAAAGCACAGCCACATCTGTATGCTCAAGGAGGGAGTGTGTAGAAAGAACACTGTTATAAGGCTCCACAACTGCAGTTGAGACCTGCAATAAACAAGAAATTAGCTGAACACATATCAACTGAACCACAAATAGGATGAATATGCATTTAGTCACAAATTTTGATGTATATTGGACAAATATATGCCATCTTTTAACAGATAGGATACATGTTTGGATTTTTACTAATAAATTCAATTAAAGATAACCGATATTTTTGACCTTATGTTAACCAGTATTATTACATTTTTATGTTGGTTCATTGATTAATGCTCTAAACCTTGTTGCTTAAAAAAAAATAATGCTAATACACCATTACTAAAACCAATAATTCCATGTGAGATTTGTATACCAGGAAGCATGGACAAGGAGATGGACACAACTGGGATACCGCAAAAAAAAATATATTTTTTATATATTTTAATTTTCTATGTATTTAAATATTACATCCATAAACAATTAATATAATGAAAACTAACACTATCTTCACATTATAAAAAATAACAAAAAAACTAAATTTAAATTAGCCAGATATTAAATCTATGTTGCATTACGCTCCACACATCATTAGAACCCAGTCTCTCAACTTCATAACTATGGTTAGATTTGTTTTGCTTTGTTGATAGTTTGATATGAGTTATGTATAAATATATATATTATATATTTTAAATCCAACCCTTATATTTCCAGATATTATAATGAGCCCCAAAATTAGCTTTGGCAAACTAAAATAAGACTTCACTGTGTCCTTGCCGTGTCCCATGAAAAAATTTTAAAAAATGGACAAACCATATGGCGTGTACCATAAGTGTTCCCACATGTCTATGTCCAACATGGCTACGACACTTATTTTGCAGGGTTGGTACTTCATAGCTTGTCTCGGAGATTGAGGATCTATCATTAATAAGTTAACAACTATAGGTACCTGAGGAGAAGGATAGATGGTAAATCCAAGCTTAGACTTCTTTCCATAATCTAAGGACAAGCGTTCCAACAACAAGGACCCCAAACCAGAACCAGTGCCACCACCAACGGCATTAAAAACCAAAAACCCTTGCAAACCAGTGCAGTTATCAGCTAACTTCCTCACTCGATCAAGGCATAGATCAACAATCTCCTTCCCCACTGCAAAACATCACAAAATCATGTTCAGTCCACAAAAAGACATGTCCAAGTGAAGGTTACCCAATTTTGTGAACAATGAAGTTTACCAGTATAATGCCCTCTTGCAAAATTGTTAGCAGCATCTTCCTTCCCAGAAATAAGCTGTTCAGGATGGAAAAGCTGGCGGTAAGTCCCTGTCCGGACCTCGTCGATAACGGTAGGTTCCAGGTCAACAAATATAGCTCTGGGCACATGTTTGCCTGCACCGGTCTCGCTAAAGAAGGTATTAAAAGCATCGTGCGCAACGCCCACTGATGTGTCACTACAAAAACATCATAAAGTTTGTAAGGAACTCATAAAAAATCTAGACCTAAACAAAGACTCTAAAATAATGAACAAATATACAAAAGCATATGCAAACCAGCAATACCAAACAGAAAACAAATAAATCCTGAATGAATGAGATCTGAATGCAGAAAATGGAAGGTACCAGCTAAATTTACACATCACCAAATTATGTTTAAGTTGAGCAATGCATAAATACTGATTTAGAATCATGTGGCACAACACTTATCCTTTCGATTTAAAACAAAAACCACTATTTTTTTTTTTTCCTTTTGGATGAGGCAACCTGAAAAATGATGCCTCGTACTTTGCTCCATTATTTGAATAACCTAAGCTTGAGTCTCTTTAATTGGGTGACCTCTTAAGAGGAAAAACAAACAAAAACCTACATTTACTGTCCTATTATTTCAAGGGCTATGCTACAAATTCTAGTTAAATGTACTAGAACCATGGGGCTCTTTACTTCACTTTTAAGTTTCGTTTTAAGAAGATTTTAGTCTACCTACCATTAATTTTATTTTCATTTAGTTATTTATTTATTTTTTAGTTAATGAGATTGATTCTCTCGTTAATATGACAAACAAACAATAATTCATTGATGATCCAACAAGCAAATTAATGAGAAAGAATCAAGCAGAGAGAGAGAGAGAGAGAGACTAAGACAAAACTAACTCTGTCTAGAATAAACACTATAACACCAATTCCAGATGCATGAAAACCGTCACAAATAATTTCAATCCAATTCATTTCAATAACATCCAACACAAAAAAACCACGAGAAAAGAAAACAGAAAAATTATTCAAGAAAGAAAAAATGAGAAATAAATCAAACAGTTGGGAGATCACGCAGAAATACAAGGAAAAAAAAGGGATTATAAATTGAGAATACGAATTTCCATGATAAAGTAAAATATATGAATTGAAAGCACAAAATTACAATAAAATCAACAGAAATAATACCTGGGCATCATACCATCGGGCTGAATTTCATGTTCAAGGCAATAAAGCTCCCAACATGAATTCCCTACCTGAATACCTGCTTGCCCTATGTGTATGCTTATGATTTCTCTCATCCCTCTTCTCTCTGATCTCAAATACCACACAAATCCACCAGACACAACTCAGATCTCCCACTCTCTCGCTCGATCTTTCTGTATTTCTTTCTTTCTATATGTAGGTAATTAAGCTACCTACTGTCGCTCTCTATTTTGAAGCAAAAAACAGACTTAAAAATTAAATGCCATTAAAAAGATGTTTGGAATCCGAAAAGAGGCCCGCCATTTGGCGCCAGCCTTTCCTCGGGCCCGCCCAACCGCAATCCTCTTCCTATGTTGGCTTCATCCTATTTACCATCCTACCCCGTTCTCTTCTTTGTTATCAATCACATTGCACATTGTAAACAGGATTTACTTAAAAAGATTATTCACATTTTGTCCCCTTTAAATTTCAGATATTTTTCACTTTACTCCATAATTTTTTCTTTTAGTTTTACCCTTTTAATGCCGTTTGAAATTTTTTTCTTATATACTTCAAAAATTAATTTATGTTTAATTTTGAATGAAAAAATGCTAGTTAACAGAGATGTAACATAAACATAAAAATTAATTAATTACATTTTGCTTCCTGTAAGTTTCATATTTTTTTTTCATTTTAGCTTTTAAAATATTTTTTCTTCTCATTAATTCTTGTTTGGTAACTATTTTGTTTTCAATTTTCTATTTATATTTATAAAATTTAAAAAATGTCATATAAACTTATTTAGTAAATTTTTTTGAGTTTATAAACAGTTCTCTTAAATTAAAAACTAAGTTAAAAACATAAATTGAAAAAACGTGTTTACAAAAGTTTTAAAAACTAAAGAAAAATACATAAGCAACATGGAAGCAATGCAGGAGGAACGCGGAGGACCTTGTGTTGTGTTGTGTTGTGTTGCACAAGATCAGTTATTCGAATCATGAGAGCAACATTTTTTGTGTTGGAACAATCTTCTGTGTAAATAAAATAACTTGAAATAAATTCAAACAAAATAGATAAATAACATACCAGATTTATTTATCGAACCGAAATAAAATTAAAACCAAGTCAAGTGTGTGACACTTTGTCCTTAAGACAGATTCGCCCCGCTACGGTACTTACGGTTGAGTGGCGTCTATCTCCCGGGATACAATGATCTACACAAATTGTAGTAGTACTCCAAACAATTTGTTCGGCGAACCAAACCTTGTGTTCTAATACTCTCTTTTATTAGTCCTAAAAATATAAATGAAGAATAATGCACTAAAAAAAAAACCGAACAGCAAAAGAAATTTTCTTAGACTGGTTTTTTCCCCGACCCTTGATTGCTGGAATCATGGCAGTATATATAGGCAAAAATCCTTAGCCTCGAAAAGGTGCAATCCCAAGTGAACAGATGCACTAATTATTTCAAGCCATTTGTCAGACCGTTGGCACAAAGAAAACCAATGGTCAAACAATGCATAAAGAAAAATGGCATACACCAATAGAAAAATAGAAGGAAAGCCTCTCAGGTGTAGAGGAGTATAATGAGTACTAGAAAGACTCTGGCTAAGGGAACTTTCTGGAAAATTGGAACTGGAAATAAAGTGAGATTATGAAAAGATTAGTGGCGTGGAAACAAACCCCTTGAAATGGGAAGTCAATCCCACCATCCTTTTATGATACCACTGTGAATCATTTCTTTGATTGTGAGGGAGGTATTCAGGTAGGGAATCCATGTTGGGAGCTTTATTGCCTCGAGCATGAATTCAGGATGGGAGCTTTATTGCCTCGAACAGAGTTGAATACTTTTTTCCTCCTAATATTGTTACTGGGGTTTTGAGAATCACTCCTCCAATATTTCCTTCCACACTTGACCAACCAGTGTGGAAAGGCAGTCCAAAGAGAGAATTCTCATCGGCTGCAGCTTACTGGTATCCACAACCAAGATATAAATTGGCAATGGATGTGGAAAATGAAAATCTCTCAAAAATTAACAGGATTTTTGTGGATTGTCATGCATGTTACACCCAGCGGTGTGTGTAAATTAAATATATAATTAAAATAAACAACAAAGATATAAATGAATAATTCAGAAAATAATTTAATAAATTAAATGTTTATAGAAATTTTAAGTCGAGGCTTGTATTGGATACAATTTCCTTAAAGTAGATTTTACCCTCGCTCCGGTGCTTCGAGTTTTAACCGGCGTCTACTTCCTAAGATGTAACGACTAACACTTGAATTTGCAGCACTACAAAATCAAGTCTGACGAACCAAAACTCTGTTGTAACTCTTTCTTTTTCTTCCTAAACTAAAATACAGAACAGATGCAGAAACAAGAAGACGAAGAGAGGAAGAAGAAAGAAGAAAAGCTCTCCAAAAAATTCGATGGAAATGAATGCTGGATGGCCGACTATTTATAGGAGGAATGATGGCTATTCAAACAGGTGCCAACAGATAGGCAACTGTTCAAACAGATTCAATAACGACTAACACTTGAATTTGCAGCACTACAAAATCAAGTCAGGCGAACCAAAACTCTGTTGTAACTCTTTCTTTTTCTTCCTAAACTAAAATACAGAACAGATGCAGAAACAAGAGGACGAAGAGAGGAAGAAGAAAGAAGAAAAGCTCTCTAAAAAATTCGATGGAAATGAATGCTGGATGGCCGACTATTTATAGGAGGAATGATGGCTATTCAAACAGGAGCCAACAGATAGGCAACTGTTCAGACAGATTCAATAACAATTTGGACAGATTCAGTTTGAATTCAACAGGTATGAACTACTTTTGAACCCTTTGAACCAGTTTGTGTGGGTCTAAACCCGTTAGGGATCTGTTTGGGTGAAGGAAAAATCTGGACCAATTTCTTTTAAATTTTGAAACCAAAATTAAAAATAAATAAATAAATTACAAATGTTTTTGGCCCAAAAGATAAGTATTGGGCTGGATAAACCCAATCTAACCTCACACCACGCACCCGCACCTAAGCCTAGGCCCAGCCCAGCTCGCTCGATTGGACGGATGGGCGACGACGTGCCCATGTGGTTTTTGTTTTGAGTCCAATGGGTCTAGCATACTTTACCAATAACCTCATCCTTTCACAAACTTGGTTATCTCTTGGGGCCCATCCAAAGTATCCCAAGCTAGAGTATTTAAACCCACACAAATCCATAAGCCTTTCCAATGTGGGACAAACACATTTCACAAATGTGTAGGAAACCCACCTAAAGCCATTCTACGAACCCAAAAATGCGTATTAAATTCTCATTCATCCGAAAATGGTTTTGATCGACCAAATACAAGATTTTATTCACTACGCGGCATTAAACATGAATCCAATGAAAAAGTTTAAAATAACGCTTGAGTCCCACCGTAATTAATGCTCTAAGTTAGCAAAAAATAAGGATTTTGCAAAGCTATTTTCCAATAATTCCCCACATGAATGGAATTCACAATAACGGACATGTAACAAGATGTAGACAAAGAAAGAGTACATTAAGAAGATACACCACATTGAGATAGGTAGCTTTTGGCTTTGAACCTCCTCTAGTGAAAGCCTATCGGACTAACTGGCTAACTAGTGGACGTGATGTCTTGAACTGTTCAGCTATTTGTGTAAGCAAAGACAATAGACTACGCATAATGTATCCGCAGACATAGTTTGGTTCTTACGCTTGTGTTCATTTTGGCACTGAACAACACTTGGTAATTTATGATTTCTCTAGAGAATTTAGCATTTTCAATTCTCACAAAACTGGCCCAATTCACACTCATATAGATGACTTCTTATTAAGAGTATCATGCTATACCCCACTTGGATGTCCAAGCTATAAGAATTATTAAAAGCAAAGCTTATACTACTAACGCTGCAGGTATCACTCTTCTTATCATAAAATAGGTAAGAGTAAACCTCCTCAGTGATATATAAAGTCATCTATAATTCGGCTGTCCCTTTAAACCTAGATCTTGGGATATCCAATCAACTAGATTGAGTTGTCATTATGGTGACTTTGTAAGTAATAGCTTTAATCCCATTCCCCTCGATAAATGGTACACTTGCTCTCTGGCTAACCTTTAGTCAATGGATCTGCAATATTCTCCTCTGACTTTACATATTCTATGAAAATTATTTCATGTGAGAGCAAATGCCTAACGATATTATGTCTTCAACGAATGTGTCGAGACTTACCGTTATACATATGATTATGTGCCCGTCCTATTGCTGCTTCACTATCACAGTGAATGTATATAGCTGGCACAGGTTTAGGCCACATTGGAATGTCTTCTAAGAAATTACGAAGTCATTCTGTTTCTTCTCCTATTTTATCTAATGCGATAAACTTAGATTCCATTGTCGACCTTGCTATGCATGTCTGCTTAGAGGATTTCCAAGAAACTACAGCACCTCCCAGGGTAAAGACGTATCCACTAGTGGATTTTGAGTCTTTAGTATCCGATATCCAATTTGTATCACTGTACCCCTCGAGTACTGTTAGATATTTGGTATAATGTAAGTCATAATTTTGGGTATGTCTTAGATACCTAAGGACCCTAATTATCGTTTTCCAATAATCGGACTCTGGATTACTTGTGTACCTACTCTATTTGCTTACAACATAGGCTATATCTAGCCTAGTACAATTCGTTAAGTACATCAAGCTTCCGATTATCCGAGAGTACTCTAATTGTGATATGCTTGCACTTGTATTTTTTGACAAATGAAGACTAATGTCAATAGGTGTTTTAGCAGGACGGTCGTCATGCTTTCCAAATTTCTCTAGAATTTTCTCAATATAGTGAGACTGAGATAAAGCATATCCTTCAGATGTTCTAGTAATTTTTATTCCTAGAATTACATTTGCTACTCCTAGATATTTCATGTCAAACTTTTTGTTCAACATTTTCTTTGTGGATTTAATCATGTCATTATTGCTTCCAATAATGAGCATGTCATCCACATAAAGACAATTTATGACATAACCTTTTTCTGTGCTTTTAACATAGATACATTTGTCACATTCGTTTATTTTAAAACCATTCGAAAGCATAACGTGATCAAATTTTTCATGCCATTGTTTCGGAGCTTGTTTTAATCCATAAAGGGATTTGACAAGTTTATAAACCTTTTTCTCTTGACCGGGAACTTGAAACCCTTCCGGTTGTTCCATATAGATTTCTTCATCTAACTCACCATTC